CGACAATAATCGTGATCAATTACTTATTAACTTACTCGAGCTATGTGTTCCATGGTTCCAAGTAAAAACAATCGTGTTCTGTGCCAATGCTCATCGATTTTCTGCAATAATTGAAAGCCTCGTTCGTGAAAAAAATTTTGGTGATTTAGATTTAGATTGTTGTTTTCAAATGGAAATCGATCAGACAACATTAGAAGAGAAGAAAGAGCTAATTATGCAAAATTGTCCACCAAGTACGCATCTACTGTTTTGTTTTTTTAAAAAATAGAGATTATTAAAATTCCTTCTGACTGTAATGACTTCATGTTAATGTATTTTAGCTATTCAAAGATACAAACTCGTTGAAGATAACTTTTTTCAATGAAGCTTCACATTTCAGCTAATATCCACTCATCTATACAGAAAAACAATGCTTTAGATTTCCTTGAAAAATATTTTCTCTTGACATTTTTAAGACGAAAATTAAAAATATATTTTTGCTCAATCGTGAAATTTAGATTTTTATATGAAGTGCTTGAGTTTCGTTTCTCATTCAGCAGTCACAGCATCGTTAGAACAAATCCAAATTTCAGATCTCATCTTTTTAGACGTTGTCATTCAACGTTTGTCGATAGCCGATGCAAAATTAGTTGACGACTGTTTCGCATATAAATCGCCGTTCTCGCTTGGCTGTATTTTGTATCAAATCGAACATTTACCAGCGTTTGGTGAGCTTTATATAGTGACATAGAGTAAAAAAACGAAATCAAGATATATTGGTTGCTTCTTTTTAAAGGTGCGTATCGTGATGGGCAGTTAGTGAGTTGGTCTTTGACACGATTCACCAGTTCGTTTGGAATGACGTTTACGCTACCTGAATTTCGTCGACTCGGTCTTTCCACCATGGTTAATGTATCATTGGCCTCTGAACTATTCAAGTTTCAAGAACACGTATTCTGCCAGGTGATGTGTAATAACGAAGCATCATATAGGATGTTGCAAAAATTAGGTTATCGACAAAAATGTTGTGTGGATTGGATTACTGTGACATCAAAATAAAAATAGAAATCTCTAAGAATAACTAAAATGAATTTTTTTCTTCGACAAAGCATCTATAATCGAGAGCTAGGTCAAGCGAAAACACTTTTTAATCGAATATTCTTTGTATATTTGCAATGAACATTAATTCATTTTTAACTTTGTTGGATAACAAAAGCTAGCCTGGGTGTGGGATGAGTGTGCGTTTGGATGTTGATATTCTCTGCACTCAGAACTTATACCCACGTCCACACTCACACCCTCTATGTCTGTTTTTCTATTTATTTTTATGACTGATGATTTTGTGAATTAACAGCGAAACATGTCAATTTTTCTCGTATTTTCAAGTATTGTGTATATAAATTTGTTGTACAATTGAAAACCAGTTTTTGAACTATATCTATTAATGTGTTATAGGGGTTTCTTTGTTACTCTCTTATTTACCTATTTACACATTCATTAATGTAGATAAACCATAGAGATTGATGAATATATCAGTTGATATCTTTTATTCAGTCGGAGCTCTTTTTTTTCTTTTGTGATTTGAAAATGTTTTATTTTTGTGTATTATAAATCGTTGTGTGGTTATTTTAGTGAAAAATGAAATAAAAGTTTACTTATGTGGTTAGAGACGAGTTTAGTGTTTCTCGTACACTTTGTATACTTTGCTTTACAAAACAAAATGTATGGATGCATGGTATTCTAAAAAACACAGTGTACTCGTACATTCTATTTCAGATTCGATTCCGGTCACAAAAGACCATAAAATATGCATTTGATATCTAACGAGGGAACCTTTTCAACTGTCCAATCGCTTTTGAGTTCGAACTCAGTGTGAAAGATAGACCCCAGTGAGGTATGAAAAGGCCCAAAAGGATAAGTGCCCATAGGCCTTCTGTCCAGAGTTATAGGCATTTTACTGGATTTTTAGCCTATGGCACAGTATATACCAAAAAATCGAATGACAATATTTCGAGCTGAGATTTTGTCCAAAGATAGGTCTATATACCAATAGAATGCCCTGAAAATTTCAGCTCAAAAGAATGTTTCAATCTCGAGATATTGAACACCCAAAACCCAAAAAATTCTAGCATCATTCGCGGGATATCCGCGGTTTTTGGGAGTTTAATATCTCGAGATTGAAACATTCTTTTGAGCTGAAATTTTCAGGGCATTCTATTGGTACATAGACCTATCTTTGGACAAAATCTCAGCTCGAAATATTGTCATTCGATTTTTTGGTATATACTGTGCCATAGGCTAAAAATCCAGTAAAATGCCTATAACTCTGGACAGAAGGCCTATGGGCACTTATCCTTTTGGGCCTTTTCATACCTCACTGGGGCCTATCTTTCACACTGAGTTCGAACTCAAAAGCGATTGGACAGTTGAAAAGGTTCCCTCGTAAGAATATTCTTAAGTCCTATATGAATCAAGACAAAGTATTCTACAAATCTATTCATTAGCTACAAAACTTGTTGTATGAATGGATAGGTTTACAATCATGTTAAATATTACTAAATCGTAATGTTTCATTTTTTGGAAAATTTTTTTTTTATTCGTAAAAATAATATGTATGGTGTTCAAATGAAAAATTAATCAACAATATATATATTTTGATTTTAGTATAATTAATTATTTGATATTTAGTTGATTTGAAATAACTTCGATACGACAGATACATTTTATTTTAGCTACCATTGAATCACTAACTAGCTATCGCATATGGATTAATGGACAAGATTTGAAAACCTTCGATCTGCATCGAACGTGGAATATACATACCATGAGAAGTCCCTCTTCCAATGCGATTTTGATGAGTTACAAGCTGAAAAGCTACTTAATGCAATTGCCGATCTCGTTGTTGTAAAGCGATACTTGTCGACTATGGAAATTCGAGCTATTTATCAACAACAATCATGCATCGATCAAATTCAAATTGGTACATATGTTAAAAACAAGAAAATACACCACAGCAAGATCGATCATGTTTGGAAATTTATTTATTCTTCAAGTGAATGAATTGTCATGTTGTATTTCATATGTCCTGTCATTTTAAGATATTTGTTTTTGATATGATGATAAAAGAATAAATAGAATATCTATAGTTCGAATTATTATCCAGTTGCGTTCAAGAAAGAAGAATAGATGATCAAATCTCTTCTAAAAGATATCACAGAACTTGATCTTTACAATCTAATTAAATAATTACTCACAATAGTTTGAATTGATAGAAGTTTAATCATGAGAAACTTTGCCTAGATGTTCTTCCAAAAACTATTAAACGTCTTTCGCCTATTGATTAGATAAAATTCGATTTCAAATGCAGGTGCTAATTTTTAACCAGTATTAATCCTCAAACTTTGTTCTGAAGTCTATGTAAATCCCGATCGTTTCACTTTAATATTGCACAATACAGAACTGATGATTACAATTCTTTTTGTCAGGCATTTTCTTGTAAATAATTCTTCTTGACAAATGTTCATATTTCCAAAGTCGATCGTCGCTGAGAACTCATTGTGATAAATTTTATAGAGAGAGAGAGCAACGTGTCAAGCAAACATCTTTGATTTCACTCGTCTCTTTGTCTTTGAGGCTAGCCGAACAGTTAAATAGAAGATGCCGAAAACAATTAGTTGGAGAGTCAATTCGAATAGCGAACAAAAGAATTCTTCCCGAACAAGATCAAACTCGACAACATGACATCTTTTTGAAATCAATTCGAAAACAAAAGAGATTCTTCGAGTTGCAATCATCCGAAATTCGATTGTCTCTCGAATGGAATCGATCAATTACGTTTTGTCTTATTCCACCCGATCAGATGTTCTTTTCAATTCTTCAAGTTCTATTTAAAAGTTCGTCATGTTGGGTGTGGGGTGTTGGTGTGGGTATGAGTGTGCGGTCGTGTGGGTGTGGATATGGGTGTTTGGAGAGACTATCCCCACACGCACCTACACCCACACCCACATCCTACTCACAAAAGAATGATTATATACAACAACACAAGCAAATCAATTTTTTACTGGCCTTAATATCAGTGCACGTATTCAAGTGGAAAATGATAATTACTCTGTCATAATTGTCGATTCGATATTAGCCTATTATAGCTATACTGATGAAACATCGCAAATAATAATAGATAGATGTTCATGCCGTCGAAATGGATATCATTGTAGTATTGCATCAATTTTATTCTACAAATTGGTAAATAATTCTCAAGTATGGCGATTTTTTATTGGCATGGATGTAGGATGTGTTCCTCTATTTGGTTTACTAAAATCAAGCATTGATTGGTGGTATGATAATGTATATATTGAACAGATTCGAGAAACATTTGCTGAAGGAGTACAATCGAAAGTACTTCCAAACATTCAACCACTCAATTCAAGTTTACCGAGTCCATTTCTAAACAGTAATGGGACATATTCGACGTTCAAGATCTTGTTCGATGAAATGTTAATCGAATTATGGACAGGCAATATTTCATGTTTTGATTTATTTTATTCTCAATGTAAACCGAAGTCTTGTTCGTATATGATCAATGGGAGATATCCTCGAATTGTGGCTCTTCTCATTCTCATTTCCATTTGTTCAGGTCTCGATCGAGGCTTTCGACTACTAGTTCCTATTATGATTACAATAGTCTACTTTTTGAAAGAACGATATCGCAATCATGATCGAAATAATGGTGACTATTTTATTATGATTGCTGTTATACATTGACAGAAAATAATGTATATTTGTTGCAATAACTCTTCTTCAAATAGTATTAATAGTCGTATCAACTAGCATTAGAAACATATTTTTGAATAATATCTTTTGTTTGTTTTTTAGCATTACTAATTCCGATGAGTACTCGAGTGCAACATTTTTCAATTCATGCTTATCAATCATTAATTAAGCTAAACCTATTCAAATCAACAAGGACAAATGATGTAACCGAACATAATGAACGTATTTACACACGTGTCTATCTTATCCTAATGACAATTTCTATTGTTATACTTCTCTTATTTACAAGTTTTAATCAACGATCGAAAACTGAAAATATTCAAGCACCAATGAATTCATTTGAATTTGAAAGATTGCATTTACTTTATTCAGATACTCTTCATTGCCCTTGTATGCAAATTTCAATTCCTTACAGTGCTCTTTTCTCTACAATTGAAACAGAATCTTTTCATCCAATCTGTTCAAGTAATTTTGTTTCCTTCAATTGGATAATGTATCTTGTGACAGCTTATGAACCACCTGATTGGATTACTAATCAAGATTTTCGTCAATGGGATGCAGCTTATTTTCGTGCACTTCAAACATTCTGTTTAGTTGCAAATGCAACTGTAAATAACATTCTGGAGAATTTTCTATCTTCAATTTTAATCATCAATCAAATCATATCGCAAGATGAATTCGATAGACAAATGAATGTTACTCTATATCATCTAAAAACAACATTGCCTAATATATTTATTCAAGCTTTGATATTGATTCGAATTACAAGTCAAAGTGATGGTCTAATGAATGTCTTTTCAACTAATTGGTATTTTGCTAAGAGTGAAAATCAAAGTAGTATGACTAGATTGGAAAGTCGACCAGTTACCTATAATAATTCGATATGTTCATGTGCTACTTCACGACAATATTCTTCGCCAGCTGCACTATTTCATCCTTAGAATGTTTCTACTCGTCTACATGTTTACATGGACTGATCGATGCTATGCCTCTTGGTGGTCCCTGGTATGATTGGCAATATGATGTTTTATCAGATCATTTTTTACCGATCAATCATAGTACATCAAACTTTACCATCAATGATATAATTAATATAATCGTTAATAGAGGGTGTGGGGTGTGGGTGTGGGGTGTGGGTGTGGGTGTGGGTGTGGGTGTGTGGGTGTGGGTGTGGGTGTGGGTGGGTGTGGGTGTGGGTG